AGCGGCTGCGCTACTTGAAGCAGCAAGAGCAGCGTCAGCAGCAACAGGCATCTGAGCAGGAGAAGCTCCAGCGCCTCAGAGAGAACATTGAGAATCAGGAAGCTCGGCTCAAGAAGGTCCGGGCCCTCAAGGGTCAGGTGGAGCAGAAACGTCTCAGCAATGGCAAACTGGGTGAGTTCGTTAACTTTGAATTCACGACTGGATGCCTGCTAAGAGTATGGTGTGAACCATGAAAGTTTGAAATGTATTTTGGATTAAGATGCGCTGTATTTCTGTGACTGACTGTCAACATTATATTGTTTGTCTCTCTTTGCATTCTTTCTTCTTACCTCTGCCATCATCACACTCAATCCCTCTCCCTTTCCAGTGGAGGAGATAGAGCAAATGAATAACCTGTTCCAGCAGAAGCAGAGAGAACTAGTGATGGCTGCGTCCAAGGTGGAGGAGCTCAGCCGGCAGCTGGAGTTGCTCAAAAATGGCAAAATGGATAACTTCCATGACAACCAGAGCTCGGTTGCAGAGCTGGACCGCCTCTACAAAGAGCTACAGGTGTGAAATAATAAAGGAAAATTCAAGTCCAAACATATTACTTGCTTAAAATTAGCACAGTTTTTGATTTGTGTTTGTGCTGGTTGGTCAGCTGAGGAACAAGCTCAACCAGGATCAAAACTCAAAGCTCCAGCACCAGAGAGAAAGTCTGAACAAGCGCAACCTGGAAGTAGCTGCTATGGACAAACGGATCAGTGAGCTCCGAGACCGGCTGTGGAAAAAGAAGGCAGCCCTGCAGCAGAAAGAGAACTTGCCTGTAAGTATTATTGCACCAAAACTACATAAAAAAAACAACAACAAACAAACAAAAAAAACAAACAAACATCGCTTTAATTGTTATATGGCACCCTGACAATCTTTCAGGGTACTAATTTTAATTTCTGGTACTAACTAGTAGAAATGCTTTTGATCAGAACCCCCCCTAGTGGCCTTGTGATAAAAAGCTGTTTGTATCTCTACATCTGACGTTCTGAGCTCAAGCTTCTCACACTTTCTTTCCTCTGTTTGGAGATGGTCACGTAACACTCCACCCACCCCCACCCCTCCTCTCTCACTCAGAGCAATCAGTTCCTATCTGTCTTTTTCCAATATTGGATCTTGGTGGGAAAGGAAGGTTGTTCTGATCATATAAAGGAATTGAGTTTGATTTTTCACTCCCACTCCTTCACTCGGTTGTGTTTTCAGTCCCATTTGACAGAAACAAAGCCAGAAGATGAGAGAGGAATAGTATGTGCAGACTTCCTATCACAGACACGCAGGAATGTCAGTGAAGATGCTATCTATTTCTGGTGGGGCTTATAAACATGAAAAGTGGAAGAATTCAGTTTGAAAGAAACCCGCCTTTTTAAGAAAGACGTTGCCTTTTTAAACCGTCTTTTATGCAAACATTTATGGCAAGATTCAACACAGATTAAAAATCAGAAGGCTGAGTTAAGGCAGTCTGTGGTGGTAATCCTGTTTAGTGTTGAGGTATCAGTTCTGATCTCACTCTCTGGTGTCTTTCTACTCCTCTCCCCCCCTTCTAAAAGATGTTTGAAGGTTGCCATGGGACTGTAAATAAATCAACATAGATTTTTATGAAACAGACTGTGAGAAGAAAAATTACCATATTTACTGCTTGATGTTAAATCTGAGGGTGGACAAAATAAATGAAATAAATAAATAAAAAATCCTGATTGGTTGATATTGTGCTTTCACCTTCTCAATTACATGAGTCACTGTAATCTGTCCTCTATGCACTTATTTAATTATGTTCTCCTAATCGGGGCTTTATTGGCTTCCAGCACGAACTTTCTATTACAACTCAAACTTTTAACGACAAATATTATTTTTCATTAAAACCTGATACAGTCGTTTGTTATGTTTTATCGGTGTTTTTAGATTCAAAATACAGCCTTGTGAGTATTTGGTTTGCAGTATTTACTCAGCCAAAACAGTGTTGAAGATTAAAAGTTAAAACATAAATAATACATTTTAGAAGGAAATGTAAATCTATTTTAATTGTTTAGATAATGAGCAACTCGTGCATTACTTTATAGCCTCCTGGCCTCTTTTTTTGATGTCATATGTAATAAAGGAGAAGCAGTACAGAGAAAGGTGTTTATGTGTGCATGTGTGTTTGAGAGGAAAGCTTGAATAGGGGCTCGTGAGGTGATTTACCCACACCCTGCCTAGAATCATAATGAGTGAGGCTTTTTCTCACCAGCACAAAGACACACTCCATCCAAGCTGCTCTCTCCTCCTACTAAACAGCAAGCGTCCGGCTAACATCACCCAGCAAACACGTCTGAACATACTGACCAAGAGGTAGTCTGAGAGCTGCCAGCTGAGAGTCATCTCACACCATCTTAGTCACATACTTCAGAAAACAGTGAAATAGGCTAATACTGGATAGGGGGGAAAAAGGGGGGGATTATTTGGTATTTTGAACTTCTGTTGCATGTTTGTGCTTTTGTTTTCTCAAGAATGGCTATCCTGGTAAAGAGAGGGCTTCAAAAGAAACTCACCTTCAGGTAACTAAACTAGTATTGCAGCTATACATATGTACCTGTTTGATTTCTAAACTGAATGTGATTTGGCTCTTCAGACTTTGTTAGT